CACACCACCCCCACCCTGCAGCAGTGGTCTGTTCATCTGCTGTCTGTGGGACTGCGTGTCTGTAGAGGGTCGACACAGTGTGTCAGTTCCCAGAGCAGAAGAGGGTGTTGTTTCAGATGGGAGTGCCGTGGGGGTCTTTACTGACAGCCCCTACCCCCGTGAGGGGCAGTTACCAGACACTTTGCATCGCTGCCACACTTTAGTACTGTCGTTGGAGTGTTACCTTATTGGAACTCAGCCTAAGCTTCATGACTGCAATATCGAGACATTTCATTCCCCTGTCTTTGCCTTCTTCACTTTATTATGTGTTCTGAACATTGTATGCAAGAAACTTTGCAATTTTCCACTTGGCTGTGCCCAGGGCAGGAACAGCGCGGGGTTAAATACAGTGTAAAGCTCTGTCTACACTGTTCATTGTACCGTACTTCATATCTAATAGCTGGTCCCATATAAAGTTCTGACACTTATTGCTTGTTCAGCTCATCGAACTTTGCAAGATGTCCCTTTTAAGAATGTTAACATTTAGGGGCGGTTGGGGAGGGGCGTTGTTGGTGCGAGGTGAGGAAGGAACCTGTGGAGGGTGGAATTTGAAAGTAAAGTCTCAAAAGTGGTGGAGATGCTCAGCAGGTCGGGCTGCATCTGTGAAAAGTGTATGTTAACAGCTCAAGTCGGGGGAGAAGGTCCCAGACCTGAATGGTAACTCTTTTCACGTTTGCTGCTGAGAATTTTGTAGAAGCATAGAACCCCCACGGTGTGGAGGCAGACCATTCGGCCCATCAAGTTTATACTGACCCTCCAAAGACCGTCTCACCCAGACCCACCTTCCTACCGTATCCCTGCATTTCCCACAGCCAATCCACCCTAACCTGCACATCCCTGGGCACTACGGGACAATTTAGCACGGCCTATCCACCCTAACCTGCACATCCCTGGGCACTACGGGACAATTTAGCACGGCCAATCCACCCTAACCTGCACATCCCTGGGCACTACGGGACAATTTAGCACGGCCAATCCACCCTAATCTGCACATCCCTGGACACTACGGCCAATCCACCCTAACCTGCACATCCCTGAGCACTATGGGACAATTTAGCACGGACAATCCACCCTAACCCGCACATCCCTGGGCGCTACGGGACAATTTAGCATGGCCAACCCACGCTAACTCGCACATCCCTGGGCACTACGGGGCAATTTAGCACGGCCAATCCACCCTAACCTGCACATCCCTGGGTCCTATGGGACAATTTAGCACGGCCAATCCACCCTAACCTGCACATCCCTGGACACTACGGCCAATCCACCCTAACCTGCACATCCCTGAGCACTATGGGACAATTTAGCACGGCCAACCCACGCTAACCCGCACATCCCTGGGCACTACGGGGCAATTTAGCACGGCCAATCCACCCTAACCTGCACATCCCTGGGCGCTACGGGACAATTTAGCACGGCCAACCCACGCTAACCCGCACATCCCTGGGTACTACGGGACAATTTAGCATGGCCAATCCACCCTAACCTGCACATCCTTGGGCTGTGGGAGGAAACCGGAGCACCTGGAGGAAACCCATGCGGGTACGGGGAGAATGTGCAAACTGCACGCAGACAGTCGCCCGAGGGTGGAATCGAACCTGGGTCCCTGGCGCTGTGTGGCCACTGTGCCCGTCCAAGTTCTCCTGTTATCTGTTTTGATCCCTCTAAGAACTTTCACTCTGCGTTGGCCTCATTAGCCCTGGGTCTCGAAAAGGTGAATGGTTGACACTGGGACGTGGTGATTATCAGATTGCATGCCACTTGAAT